GGAAACTACATATTCAAAGTGTTCGGTGTGTAGCTGAGAATACTAACCCAGAGGACTAAAATGTGTAATAGTAAATTACTAGACTCAAAAAGATTATTTAGCATCTAGATAATACCACCAAATTTCTTTAAAGGTAAAGAAAATTAGTTTATTATCAGACTTTACCTAAACAAAATGGAATTGCACATTTAAGATACTCAATGAAAAAAAATATGGGCTGGGCATGGTGGTTCACGCCTGTATCCAGCACTATGTCAGGAGTTTAAGACCAGACTGACCAACATGGTGACACCTCGTCTCTACTAAAAATACAAAAATTAGCTGGGCATGGTGATGCATGCCTGTAATGCCAGCTACTCAGGAGGCTGAGGCAGGAGAATTGCTTGAACTGGGACCTGGGAGGCGGAGGCTGCAGTGAGCCAAGATCACACCACTGCACTGTAGCCTGGGTTACAGAGCAAGGCTCCATCTCAAAAAAAAATAAATAAAAGAAAAAGAAAATATGAGCCAAGCATTTTATATCCAGCAAAACTAGCCTTAGACTATAAAGGGAAAAAACTGCTTTCAACATATGAGAACTCAGGGAATACTGTTTTCAATCAGCCTTCCAGCGCAATGTACTAGAGAACAAGGTTTGGACAAACAAACAGTTGCCGAATATGAAGGGAGAGGGGGAACAGGGATTGAGGGCGGCATACGTAACAAGAAATAAAGAGTTAACAGTTCTCAGTAATCAAACTAGTGTACAACAGAACTCTGAAAGAAAGATCTTGGTTTCAAAATTTATTAGAAATATGAAAAACTTACTGGGTAAACTTTTAACCTCCAGCAAAGTCCTGAAACTTGAAGAGGTGGACTGTAAACAGGATCTGCTCTCTGACGCAAAGTGCTAAAGAAAAAGAAAAATCAGCATATCCCAAGATCAAAACTGTTGTGAAATGGCAACAGGCAAAAAGAAAAGCCAACCAGTTTCTTTAATATATATTTGAAATTCTAGACAAATAACAGAAGGTAACTGAACAGGTCAAAATTCCACTGTAAAAGTTTAGATATGCTTAAATTCTGAAATAAAATCAATTTTTAAAATACTGAAATATTCAGCAATATCTAAGATTCAGGAAACAAAACCCCCTCAAAATAGTGAGGAAGGAAAAGGGAAAAAAAATGTATCATTAAGTCTCCCAAATTTAATTAATGCTTCAATAAGCAGTCTTTCACCATTAAAAACAAAACAAAGGCCGGGCGCGCTGGCTCAAGCCTGTAATCCCAGCACTGTGGGAGGCCGAGGCGGGTGGATCACGAGGTCAAGAGATCGAGACCATCCTGGTCAACATGGTGAAACCCCGTCTCTACTAA